CCCAACACTGTGAAGGAGAGGGAAAAAAATATATATAAATATGTCGAAAATCTATAACGAGGTCTTCTTGGAGGGCAAGACATGGGGAGAGTTAGAAGCAGCGTCAATTGCTCTTTGGGGGTTTTAGTTCAAGCCGAGGTCTGCTTCCAGCAATCAACCATTAAAACAAGCCGGCCAGAGTAACAGCACAGTTTATTCTGATCATTTAATTTGAAGTGTCAATAAATTAAACTTCAATCAATTAAACTAGGTGTGCAATAACCCAGATGGACACCCCGACACCAACATAATCACAATAAAAATTTTTATGGCTGCCAGGGACCTCATCGGGGGCAGCACTGGCACTGCTCGCGCCCTAGCTGAGAAATATATCTCCACAGTGCAGGAACGAGGAGATTGCTTCTCCTAACGAAATGGAGGGGCCAGGCACCACCAAGGACGCAGCTGGGAGAGGGGCACAGGGGACTGCCAGGAATGAGATGGGAGTGCTTCAGGGGCTTAATGTAATTGATACCTTTGCCCAGAGCAGGAGGAGGGGGCATTTAGGCCAAGTACCTCTACTGTTAGTGCCAAAAGAATTTAACAAAAGCCCCATTAAGATGATTCAGGAAGCAAAGGCCACAGAGCAATATCAACCTTTGAGTCATTGATGTATTCTGCATAGTTTCCTCCTCCATATATACACATACATTTGTGCATTTTAAATGCCCTGATTTTTAAATGAGGCTTAGAATTCAAGATTTGGTCATTGTTTTAGAATAAAAATGTTATTAAAGGAAGAGAAAGGATACAAATAAGTCTAGTCCTTAAAGCACTGGAAAAACACTCTGACAGAGAATCAAAAAAGGATTAGGAAAAATGAAATCTAAGAGGAAAGATTTAAGGATCTAGATTGCTAGAGTAATTCAGTTTTGAGAAAAAAGGTAAAGGGGGATTAGGGAGGAAGAGGATAAGTCATAATCTTAAAGATTCCATAGGTAATTAATGGAGAATGGTGACCTGCAGAGATCCCTCTCCATTCACAAGAAAGGAATAACCAGCAGAAAACAGTAGGAGAGGAAAAGCTGAGTCCAAAGATGCAGGTTGGGAGCATTATTATTAAACACTGGTAACAGAAGGAAATAAAAGGGTCTCCTTCCTTAGAGACTACAAGGAGATCTTAGAAATATTAGACAAATGTGCTTGAAAGCTAGGGATGGATTACTTAATTCAAGAAAGAAATGTGACCCACTGTAAAGTACCTAAATGAAGGGAAGCTATTGGTATTTAGAAATACCCACAGTCAGATCAAATTCTGATTGATGGTTCTTCTTGACCCCCTGCTAGCTTACCCTTCCCTTCTTCTCAATATTCTATGGCTGTATGTCTTGTAGTGGTGAGGATCGAAGAATATGCTTTGATTAGCTTTTCCCAGAGGTCCAGCCAAACCAGGAAATAAATTTGAAATGAAGAAGCCTAAAGAAACTTTAGAAGGTGTCTCCCTTTCTAAGGAGTGGCTTGTTAAATACTATCCAGGTACAGTAAACTCTTTAGTTCAGTAGAGAGCTAAGAGAAGATCCAGGGATTCTGCATACTTTTCATAATGAAGATGGTGACTTAAGAATCAGGAGATACTGCTAAGTAGACAGAGGGGAAGAGATCAAAAGGAGCAATGAGGAAGGGTGATTCTGAATCAGATGGATATGCTCACTTCAGCAGTACATGTACTGAATCAGATGGAGCTAAATTTTGTGGCCCAGTATGTGAGGGTAGTGAGAAGAGAAAGAAAAACTTAGGAAATACCACCTGTTCTCAACTAGGGTTCCTCATCTGAACCAATGAATTCAGAAAATCATGTAAGTGACTATTTTCTCACTCCTCCCAAGGATGGTACAAAAATAGTGCCATTGTGGATACAAAAGGAAAAAGATGATTCATTACACATAATGAATGCCTTAGGTCATTAGAGCTTAATTTTCTCCTGGAACTCCAGTTAAAAGGGATGGAATGGAGAGAAAAGTATATAAATTCTTAATTGAGAGCCCCAAATATATTGAAATTGTAAAGAAAAAAATGTTGGAAAGAGCTGACACAGAGGAAAGAAAATACTACTTTAATATTCTTAGAACTCTGGAGACCAGCACACAAATTGTTACCTATTGGTACTTTGCCCCCAACAAAAGCTTTATATTTTATATAACTGATAGTCGAAAATACAATTTTGTACATTGAAGAGGTGGAAGCAGATGATGAGATAAGAGAGAGAGAGAGAATTGGTCTGGGATTAGGAATCAAAACCTAATTTAGTTTTGACATTGTATTTAGGAATCAAAACCTAATTTAGTTTTGACATTGTACTTCCTTGAGCAAGACCTTTTCCCTATACCTTGGTTTTCCCTAACCCCATTACATAGGTTCATCGTGACAAAGAATCAGCATGGTTTTTAAAGCAAAGTTCAGGGGTACCTGGCCAGGTTAGCAGGGATCTGTAAATGCAGCATCTTAGGTACAGATTAAAATGGGTATAAGAAAGAAGCACGTTGAAATACACTTTACTGAGGAAGCAGAGATGGAGAACTGAAGAAAAAATGTGAGAGACTTTCACATATAACACCTTCAACTGACCACTATATGCAGAACCCTTGATAAATGAGCTTCCCCAAGTAGCATCTCCCTCACTCCTTTACCTGTAAGCACATTCCTTTCTAAACAGATGTAGGAAGCAGTCTAAAAATTTCTAAAAACTTCCAAAGGATCCAATTACCTAGAACTTATCCCAGGCTGTTAACTAGTTAAGAATATTGTTTAACTGCTAGGTACAGAAAATCTTTTTAAAAACTACTCAGTTTTAAGCTTTCTAGCTAGACTTGACCAACCCATATGAGAAGGAATTAACCCTATCTTTGCCATTTTGAAAGAGGGGAACAGAAACTTGCCATCCTTTTTCACCCGATGAGGATCAGAATGTGTACATGTATTAGAGCTGAAGGAAAGAAAAACACAAGAAAGAGGCCTAGAGTTCAACTCAATTAAGGAAGGAGCTGAGAACTAAATTCCTATACACACATCTATGTTAATATCTCCAAACTGCAAAAACGCATTGAGGACTTTTGAGAGAAATGCTCTGGTCCAGTTCTAAAGAAGGAGTAATAATGTTTTACTTGTTTGAACAAGCAAAAAAGGATCATATGGACAAGGGAGCTAAAACACTCCGTTAACCACCAAAATTCTCACATAACCAGAGAGAGTTAGCATCCCAGATTCGACAGTAAGAATTTCTAAAGTTTAAACGGGTAGGAAAAAGAACAGAATAAGGAGTCTGATAAAATATTCCACAATCCATGGTAACTCTATCAGATATTCCAGAACTTTGATAGAATACTGATTCTTTATCATGACAAATCTATATAAAAGAGATTAATAGAAAACCAAGTAAAACGAAAAGTTTTTTGAAGAAATGTGACAGGGAATTATCAACGGAGTGTCAAAAGTGTGACAACTAACAGAGCCTGTGATGACAAACACCTGCACTCTAGTCTTAAAATTTGGGATGAGTTTGGAGGTTTGGGGAAACTCAAATCAGGTATCGCATACAATGCTCAGAATCGGGGTAACCTGAAGGAACCCAATCCTGTACGCTTATAATCCTATGCGTCCAAAGGAATCCACGTGCTCCTTTCAACTTTCCACCGACCCTTGTCCTTTCACAGGCAGAGCTCCCTACTCTGAAGTAAGGCTTTAGCTCTTGCACTAGGCCACACGTTATTCCAGGGGCTAACAGATCCTTCGATCCCCGAGGATTATCCAGAACTCCCCTTTCTATCGCCTCCCAGTCAAACTGAAGCCCGACTCCCGGCCCCTCTAGATACCGCAGCACCTCGGCTGCCCCAGCTCCTACCAAAATCAGCGCCTCCATCTTGCCCCGCAGCTGGTGCTGACGTGGAGCCGCAAAAGCAACGCTGCCTCTGATTGGTCCTACGTCCTTATTAGACTCCGCCCAGGATGGGGATTATTGGACTATCGGATGCCAGCTATTGTTCTATTGGCCAACCAGTGTGCTAGCTTGCTTAGCGGAAGCAGGGTGTCCAGCCAGAAGGTGCAGATATTTGATTGTCAGCCCAAACATTCAATAAAACACCAAAACCTCACCACTAAACGGGGCGGGAGGGTCAGTGGGGCGGGACTGTTTCCATGGGGAACAGAGGAAGCGAACATTAATTTTTAATTGGCAGAGTGGCGAGCACGTGATATCACCGGCCTGATTTAGCAAATTTATTTATTTATTTTTTTCACTCTTTCAGCACCTGGTCTTCCTAGGTGGTCTCCCATCCAAGTACTAAACAGGCCCGACCCTGCTTAGCTTCTGAGATCAGATGGGATGAGGCTTGTACAGGGTAGCATGGCGGTTGACTGATTTAGCAACTTTAATTGGTACTTCCTTTAGAGGGCGCTATGTCTCCTTAGCCCTTCACACTGACAGCTCTTGACGAAGTCCGACCCTACTCCTCACTAAAAGAGTTCGCATTAGGTCCCTGATATCCATGGTTGCTTTGGCAAACACTGCTAGCTAGTTCTTCCCTCAGACTTGCTCAGATCACTTCAGCATCCTCACAGAAAGTTTGCACAAATAGAATAAAGCCAAGGGATGCCCAAGATGTTACCTAGATAAACCAAAGTTGCCAGAAAGTTGATTGCTACAGTAACAATCTCCCCAAGGTGGGGTCCCCAGCTTTGTGCGACCCAAGGAAAGAGCCAGTGAGTTTCTAAAAGCAGATTTTCTTTGGCCGGACGTAAACTGGGATGTTAGTTTTGGAAATCAGAGAGGAGAGAGTAGGAAGGACAGAGGGGTAAAGGATCCAGGATAAGAAAGGGTATAGGGAGCAGGGTCTGCGGTTGTCCAGTAGGGACAAGCCGTTGCAAAACAAGAATAGAGAAGTTTACTGAATGCAGGGATTTCACAATAGGGAAGGGTTTTGATGAAGTTTAGCTTTCTCCTACCCATCTGTTCTTTGGTCTCTGATCTCCCCTGCTCCCACTCTCAGGTCAGGAACACCTTCTATTGCCTTATATTATTCCCAAAGGGATTTTATTTTTTCCATCTTTGACATTATGTCTCTAGGAGCTCTCCAAGAAGAGCATCTAAACCTACCCAGAGTTTTTCTAATAATTTCAGAGTAGAGTCAGAGGGTCTAAGAGAAAAGTGTAGAAGAATATAAAACATTTCATAAAAAATACAGCTAACATTGGCTATGAAGGAAGGCATATGATTTTCTGGTAAAATCCCAGGCAACAAGCCTCATATCCGAAAGAAGCAAATGATTTACCTTTATTCAGAATGGGGAGCTGTTCAAACATTTAGGGCTGTGCCTAGCATCACAAGGCTGTCCTTAGCTTGACAGCTTAATGATAATACTAACATTTATTGACTATTTACTATTGGCCAGGCACATGATAAATCTTTGAATACATTATTTGATATTTTTTAAAACCTTTATGAAGTAGATGAGAATGGTAGAGCTGGGAGCAATTAAATAATTACTTAAGGCCATATGAGTATTAATTGGGAGCCATACATTTGACCATAAGAGGTCTGGTTCTGAAACCATATTCTTAATCCACGATCCACTCCTCTGACTTGTGGTACAGCCTCTCTTTTATCCCAGTCCTACCTAAAGTATCGTACACCAGTGCCAGATGTTCTATAGGGACCATGAGGAGGAAAAATGTGTGATGTGGTTTGTTCAGGGGAAGGGGTTGGCTCCTCTTCCTTTGTGGAGTAACTGACAAATTTTAACAGTCAGACATTGTTCCAGAAGATGGAGAAGGTGGTTGATTCTTACCTTGTCAACCTGTGCAGTGTGGGGAAGAACTTTAACTGGATGAGAGACATTCGTTCTTGTCATGATTTTGCCTTAATAAGTGGGAGAATCCTGGCAAGTCTCAGACCAGAGCTTTCTAGAGCTCTATCTCCTTACCTAGCACTAAAGTTCTACGATCATCCATCCCTGTCCCTTTTGCTTCTGTCTCCCCTTCAACTGGAAAACCTTTAAAAACCAATCAAATGGAAAATGCATATGCTCCCCCAGCCATATATATATATATATATATACACATAATTGACCCTTGAACAAAATGAAGTTGAACTATATGGATCCACTTATATGTGTTTTTTTCCAATACATACTGTAAATGTATTTTCTTTATGATTCCTTAATAACATTTCTTTTCTTTAGCTTATTTATTGTAAGAATACAGTACTTAAAACATATAACAGGCTGTTAGTAATTAAGTTTTGGGGGAGTCAAAAGTTATATATGAGTTTTCAACTGCTTGGGGTGTTGGCACCCCTCACCTCAGTGTTGTGCAAGGGTCGACTGTGTATGTATATATGTATGTGTGGAGGAAAAGACTGGAAGGAAATACACCAAAATGTAACCAGTGGCTGTTTTAAAGTGCTAGGACTTTTTTCGATGTTTCCATATTTTCCAGGAGTTCTAAAATGTATGGGTACTATTTTATTGTATTTTATTTTTTACAGTAGAAAAGAAAAGTTTTATTAGAAGGGAAAGTACACTTCCAGACGTGGACGCAGGCCTGAGCAAGAGAAGCGTGGCTCAAAAGGTGGATACTATTTTTAAAAGAGAAAAATAAACTATTTTTTAAAGGAGAAAATCAACATCTCCTTACTTCCCTGATATCCCCAGGTGGAGTTGGACACTTCTTCCTTGCTGCCATCATCAACTCTGATTATAGCCATATTTTAACACTGCAATCTAACTCATCAGACTTGCCATCTGGGGCAGCCATTGTCCTATTCATTTTATTTTCTTAGTGCCTAATCCTCAAATGGTAAACACTCAAACAATATTTACTGAATAGAATGAATATTTTGGAAAAAGCAAGATACGAAGGCAAATGAGCAATGTCAAAGCACAGTTTAGGATTAAATGCCAAATAGGGAGCACAGATATTGAGAAGAAAGTGATCCCTATAGATTGGGGAGTCGAGGTCTAGGAGAAGAGAGGGCATTGAGTGGGGCCTTGATTCATTCATGCATTGAGGAAATGACTGGTAGAGTTTGGTATGAATAAAAGTATGGAGGCTGGGATGTGTAAGAAATCTTTTTCCTTTTTTTTTGAATTGTAAAATAAATAAACATGTTTTTATTTATTTTTATACATAACATAAAATTTACCTTGCATTCTGGTTGGGGAGCAGGAGCAGACAATAACCAAAGACATAAGTAAACCAAATAGGAGGTTAGGTGGTGATACGCATTATGTAGAAAATTAAAACTGAAAAGGAGACTGGAGACAATCTCACTATGTGTACAATTTGGAATGGTACTGTTCACATTGGAGAGAAGTGAAGGACAAGGAGAAAGTTCAATAGGGTGGTCAAGACTTTAAATAAGAGAACATTTAATAAAAGACCTGAAAGGAGAAGGGGAATGAACCATGAGGCTATCTGCAGGAAGAGCATTCCAGGCAAAGAGAACATAAGGAAAGTGTGGAAGAAAAGTATTAATATACATTACCCTAGAGGGTGAGATGGAAAGAGTAGATTATTAAGTAGTTTTTCTTTATATACGTTGGTTATTATGTGACTTTGTTAACAACAAGCATATATTTATCATTTTAACCTAGTAAAGAAAAAAATAAATATCAAAATGGGTATAAAGTTGTGAGGATTAAATGAGATAATATGTGTAAAAATATATGTAAACTGCTACATGCTCTATTATTATTTATATTTATCTTACAAATAAATAATTGGACACCATTTCAAGCAGATACATGAAGTTATAGAAGTATTTTTTTAATTGAAGCAAAATTCATATAACCAAAAATTAACCATTTTAAAGTGTACAATTTAGTGGCATTAAGTACATTCACACCACCACCTCTATTCAACCACCACCTCTATCTAGATCCAAAACTTTGTCATCACCCGCAAAGAAAACCTGGTACCCATACAATAGTCACTCCTAATTTCACTCTTCCTGCAGTCCCTGGCTACTACCAATTTGCTTTCTATCTCTATGGATATTTCAAATAAATGGTATCATGCCATTTTGCATCTGGCTTATTCCACTTAGCATAATAATTTCAAGGTGCATCCATTTTCAGCATGTATCATTAGTCCATGCCTTTTCATGGCCATATAATGTTCCATTGCCCAATATGCTCCATATTGTTTATCAGTTCAATTGATGGACATTTGGGTTGTTTCCACCTTCTGGCTACTGTGAATGGTGCTACTATAAACATTTGTGTAACAAATATTTGAATACTGATTTTCAAATTCTTTTGGTTGTATAACTTGGAGTAAACTTGCTAGGTCACATGTTAATTCTATGTTTAACTTTTTGAGAAACCATCAAACTATTTTCCACAGCAGCTATATCATTTTACATTCCAAGATATGAGAGTTCTAACTGTTCCACATCCTCACTAACACATTTTCCTTTTATTTTTTAAACGCCATCCTATTTGGTGTTAAGTGGTGTTTTATTGTGATTTTGATTTGAATTTCCCTAATGACTAATGATTTGAGGATCTTTTCATGTGCTCGTTGGCCATTTGCATATCTTCTTTGGAGAAATGTCCCCTCAAGTCCAATGTCCATTTTTTTAGTTGTGTTGTTTTCTTTTTGTTGTTGAGCTATAAGAATTTTTTTGTATATTCTGGACACTAGACCCTTATCAGATAGTTGAGTTCCAAGTATTTTCTATTTTGTAAGTTGTATAGAAGAAAATTCAATATGATTAATTTGACAACTGTTTGTTCAGAAATAATTGAAGAGGACATGAAAGGCAGAAAGACTCATTCAGAAGCCATTGCAACACAAAATGTAACAATAGGAAAATGCCCCCAAAAGATTGTGTACAAGTGAAATTAGGAAAAGTCAAAGTGTAATGAACGAGATCAGCCATAAGTAGAAAAAGCAAATGACCTGAAATAGTTTCAGGAAAGCATAATCCTAT